CCCTTAACGACGGCGTCGGCGCTCACTGCACTGCCATCAGGGGCGGATCCAGGACTTTAAGGGGTCGCGCCTCGTTGTGGTGCCCCCTGGAATTTAGTCCCTCCCCCACATAGAAGTCCCGGACCTTGGCAATCCTACTATCAGTCTCATTTTTAAGCGTTAATATATCCCCCACCGGAATGGGTGCCCGAATTTACTTCCTGTGTTTTTTTAGGACAATTTTTATATTGTTCATGTTGACTTGACAAGTTGGGACTGTTTGTCGTGCTCCTGGACCTCGGTGGATCTCAAAAATACATATTATGTGGAAACGAAATAGGGATTTCGATGTCCCTTTGCCTCTCTCTCCCTCTCCCTCTCCCTCTCCCTCTCCCTCTCCCTCTCCCTCTCCCTCTCCTCTCCCTCCCTCTCCCTCTCCCGCTCCTCTCCCTCTCCTCTCCCGTCGTCCCTCTCCCTCTCCCCTCTCCCTCTCCCTCTCCCCTTCTCCTCTCGCCCTCTCCCTCTCCCTCTCCCTCTCCCTCTCCCCTCTCTCTCTCTCCTCTCTCCTCTCTCTCCTCTCTCTCTCTCTCTCTCTCTCCCTCTCTCTCTCTCCTCTCTCTCCTCCCTCTCTCCTCCCTCCTCCTCTCTCTCTCTCTCTCTCCATCCGCCACTGACCGCCATACTGTGACTCTACGGACTACCTACGCCGCCTGATAGCACCCGTCACCAGCCAGTCCGACACTCATCGGCTTCCACCGGTTGTATTCCTCTCGAGTATATTCGCATGACAGTGTGCACACGCATCCGCCATCCCACTGCGCATACCCGGCGATTCCCGGAAGAAATACGCGCGATGCGGGAGCTTGTGCCCCGACTCCGGCCAGTGCTGCCGACAGCAGCCTCACACGGCCACGCACCGCGGGTGATCTGCCAGGCGGGATCGCACGGATCCATGAGCACGCGGCCGCACAATGATCGATGGATGGTGCCCGGCCGCGCGACGATGAAAACACACCCCACAACACGCCCGTCCCACGCCCGCCACCTGTCGGCGGTCACAGCACCTTGTACCTCCCGCGGTTGCCGCCAGAGTGGTGCGACGTCTGCGCGCGCACCAGCTCTTCCTTGATAAGACGAGTGATCTCGGCCTTGGCCTTGCTGACGGCCAGCTCCGAGGTCGACTCGATGGCCAGGAATAGTTTGCGCTCACCCTCCGGAATCTTGGCGTTGGGCGCGTAATACGTGCCGCGCACCGTGATGCCGGCTTCCGAGTACTCGGAGATCTGTGCTAACGCCTCCTGCCGGGACGAGCGAGAAACAGCGCGGCGTCAGGAACGACAAACTGCTGCCATCTGTCGAGCGCTCTGTGTAGCTTAGTTTCTGGAACCCCGCCTGAGCGCTGTGGTCTAGCCGTAAGCAGAGCATCCATCTCACTCAGCTCTTGCAACTAACGTACCAAAACCATAGCGCCACCGACGCTGCATTTCTAAAAAGTTGAATTCTCACAACGGCAATCTTGACACCACGACCACGTCCACGTCCACGTCCCAAAGGCGGCACACAGCAGCAAAGCCCGCATTCGCCACACGTCTCCCGCGCCGCGCAGCGCCGCCAGCGACCCTGCGGCCGGCCGGCCCGACGCGGGGTCGTCCGGCGGCCGTTACCTTGCTGGTGACGCGCCAGCGCGTGTGCTGCGGGAAGTCGTTGATCTCCAGCTCCTCCTCGTACTTGGTGAAAGTCTCCTCGGGTTCCGGCTCCTCCTCCGAGCGCTCCTCGGGGATGTAGTTGAGCCGCGTGTTCAGCTTGGCCGCCAGCTGCTCCGCCACCATCTTGGCCTGCGGGCGGGGAGCGGGGGAGGGGGTCACCGGGCGGCCAGGCGGGCGGCTTACCAGTCAAGAGAACGGCCGGGAGCGGGCGTGCGCCAGAGAAGAGAGAATGCGTGTCATGTCCCTGGGGCTTTACGATGCACTCAGCTGCTGAGGCTACATGGCGTCGCCTGCCTCTCAACCTGGCAAGAAGGACGGGCACCACGGGGAATCGAACCCCGTACCTCTGGTTTCCCAGATGTGCAGTGGTTAACGCAGAAGCGTTAACCACTGCACTACCGGCACCCACAGAAGAGAGAAGGGGTACCGACAGTATAGCGGCCAACGCGTCTGCGTGAGCCACTGCGCGTCTGGGAAACCAGAGGTGCGGGCTTCTTTCCCTGCGGCGCCCGCCCTCCTGGTCAGGGTGAGGACAGGTGACGCCACACAGCCGTAGCAGCTGAGAGCGTCGCAGAGCTCCAATGGCGCTGGCACCTGAGAAGACGGTGGGCCTCCTATCACAGCAGCGCCGGGAAAATCCGAAGGCCGACGGGCCGCGGAGCGCTCTTCAAATCGCGCAGCCGGGGAGGGAGGGGGGGGGGGGGGCAGCGCGTCGGTGGACAGCAGAGGACGAGGTGACGGCTAAAGGTTAGAGGAAAAGTACGCCGTCGTCTAATCCGCATCCAATGAGTGCGAAGTCATAATTGACTGAGTAACCGTTTGGTATCAGGTCCGTGCCTACTGATTCCGAGGCACTTATCGGGCCGTCGCTCAAAGGCGACGTTCACCAGTTCTCAGGGAGCGGGGCGTCACGTGACCAAGGCTTCGCCGAGGGCTGGACACACAGCGTTTGCTGATCCGAATTGCTCCAGGCTCAGCCGAGCAGTCGCTGAGTGAGGGAAGCTGCTGAAAACCGTGATTTGTGGCTGGTGTTTGGTGCGCCGTGACCGTGGTACCACCACCTGTGTACCGTGACGGGTGTACCGTGACCAATGTACCGTGACGGATGTACCAAGACCAGTGTACCTCCACCTGTGTACCGTAACCAGCACGTCCAGCGCCTTGCCCGTGTCCCGTGACCGGCGTGCCCGGCGCCCCGCCCGCGTCCCGCGGCCGTGCCGTACCGTGATGAGCGGCTGGGACCCGCGGCCCGACATGACGGCCTCGGCCGTCTGCTGACTGGCGCCGCGGTTGTCGGGACCGAGGTTCCTCTGGGCGTTGATGCGGAGCGCGAGCCGGCGCGCCAGCTCCAACTTGTCGCCGGCGGCGCCGCCAAACACGGGCGTCGTCATGAGGCCGGGCAGGCCCGACGGCGTGCCGGCCGTGCCGCTCGTCCCCGAGCCGCCTGAGGGCAGAGGTCAGCGCAGGTCAGCGGGGTCAGCGCGAACGGCAGGTCAAAGTCGGCAGAGGCCGCCGGTCCGCTGGCGTGGCGGCGCTCGGTCAGGTCAGGTCAGCACCGAAGCCCGCGGTCAGCACGCGATGCCCCCGGGTGGGAGGCGGACGGCGCAGGGCCTCCCGCTGGGGCCTGCCCTGGGCCTCTCGGGCCTCTTGCCCGCTCGGGCTGGACCACCTTCAACTCGCTGCCTTTGGCACAGTTTTTCAGTTTGACCGGACCGTGCCACTTTGATTCGGGTTCGTGTTTTGGATGCATCCTGACCTGGGCAAACATGACATTGCATTGCGTACTGTCCTGCCAGATGCATGAAACTCGTGTGGCAGCTCTTGCACATACGCATTAGCGGGGGCTGCGTGGCATTACAAATCGACACCTTCAGGCGCAAAGGATAGAGGAGAGCTTTGACAAACACTATTCGCAGAGGTAGTGATCGTTAAGACGCACGCACGGGACGCACTGTGATGCACGTTATAGAGCGTTGCATCTCTGATTACTTTTATGGTCTCTCCACTGTCCCGTCTTCGTCCTCATCCCGTCACCGTCCTCGCCCCGCCACCGTCCTCGTCTCGTCCCGTCAGCGACACTGACATTGGCCCAGCCGGCGGCGACGGACCGGTCCCGCGCGCGGCGCCGCGCCGGCCGAGCGGCCGCTGCGCCTGCCCTGTGCTGCGCTCACCGCCGCCCTGCAGCGGACGCCCGTCCCCCGGCCAGCTGGCGAGGCTGAGCTGTGCTCGTCTCACGCGTGGTTCAGGTGGCCCGCGGCTGCGACGCTCCTGAGCCGAGCCCCGTGAGGCGCCACCAGCCGCACGGCGCACCTGAGCCGGCAATGGGAGGTGCGAGAGACACGCGGGTGGGTGCGACCCAGGGCTGCACCGATCCGACCTCGACCTCGCGTCCCACGACCCACGATCGACCCACGATCGACCCACGACCGTGGTGTGCTCGGCCATATACCGGGCTCCGTGGCTGATCAAAGTGTGCGCCGCGGCGTCAGTCGCCGACAGGAGCCATCGGACGCACAGAGCCCGGCACCGTGCCAAGACGGCGCCGCCTGCTCCACCCCTCCCTTCGCCGGCGAAGGAGAGCACACCGGCCGGCAGCCGGTGCCAGCCGTCGCCTCCTGGCCTCCCGGCTGGAAGGAAGTTACCGCCCCCACCGCCGACCGCTGAGCAACGGAGCCGCTCCCCATTCACACACGTGACGCTCCGCACACACCGCATCCGGGCAGCTGGAGAAAACGGCCGCCGCCACCGCCCGCCCGCCAGCGCCGGCAGGCATCCGCGGGGCGCACCCCGACCCGGCAGGAGCCGGCGGCGGCGGCGGCACTACCGGTCCCGGCCTGCAACACCGGGCGGCGGCCGGCGCCGCGCTTTCACCGGACGGCCGAGCGGCGGCGGCAGCGGCGGCGGCAGCCTAGCCGCGCGGCCGTGGCGGCGGCGGAGCACGGCCGTGGCGCGTGCCGAGCCCGCGCGCAGCCCGGCGTAAGCTAGGACGCGGGCCCGGTACATCCCACACGCGGCGCTCACCACGCCTGCACGGGACGAGCGGCCGGCGCGGCGCGCAGGCCGATTAGCGGCCGGCGCCGGTGACGTGAGCCCAGACCTTGCCGACTGCACTCATCCGGTGACGACTGCACTCATCCGGTGACGACTGCACGCACGCACTGCACTCGACTGCACCGCGGCTCTGCACTCACGGCATTCGCCGAGGAGTCGCGGGGCGGATCGAGCGAGAGCTTTGAACGCGCCCGAAGCAGAGGTCAGGCCTTCCGCCACCTCAGCCTCTGGCCGATTTCCCTCTAGAGTACGCTGACCCCGACGCCCGGAAAGCGCCACCTCGAGACCTCACAGTGACGTGTGACGTCACCGTTGAGACCTCACACGGCTGACCGCGGCGCTCGACCGCAGGCAGCAGCAGGCAGCCGATGGAAGGCGGCTCAGCACTACGGCTACAGCTGGTCGTCCGCCGCGCTGAGCACAGGCCCCGGCTATCAGTGACCTTGACCTGACGTCTATCACGGACGCCTGTGACCCCGTCATCAAGGATGACCTTGACCTCGGCCGTCCTATCACGAGCGACCTTCCCCAGCCTCCGACTGACCTTAGCACAGCCGGCACGAGTGACCTTGACCCCCGAGTCACCCTGCCGGTGACCTTGACCCGGCCGTCAAGACTGACCTTGACCGCCGCCTCCGCCGCCGCCGCCGTTCTGCGGCTTCACCTCCTTGACGATCCGCTTGGGCGCCAGCATCGACTCGATCTTCATGTCCATGTCCTCGCTGACGTCCTCATCGTCCGAGTCCTGCAGGCCTGAGGACGGAGAGGGACGTGAACAACCACACCTGAACGGACGTGAACACACGTGAAGGAATGTGACCGCTATCTGGGCTGCGACGTCCTGGACAGGGCCGTGACGTCATACTCTCTTATGTGACGTCACACAGAGACGGCATAATCAGCACACGGGCACCGCCAGACAACACGCACGGAAAGAAACGACGCACAAACGTAAGATAAGACTCGGGGGCTTACGGTAGCGCAGAAGCCCTGACAACTCCAGCGGACACCAGTAGCTCACAGGCTCCAGTTACCCGCAGGTTTGTGAAAACCGACACGACCCGATAACCTCCAACTCAAACCCGCGTCAGGATCCCTGGCGCCAACTGTGCCAGCCAAAGGTGCGGTGTTTTGGAAGTTCTTGTGCATTTCCCAATTCGAAGGCCACGAAGAACTAGCTCTTCGTCCAAAAGGTGTCTAAAAGTCAGGCTGTCCCAAAACTTTCAATGTCACGAAACCGATATTTTTGGCAAAAGCAGCAGCCATACGACAGGGGACCAATGCTGGTGGGAAAGTCCTCTGGTATCTAGTAGCAGCTGTAGTGGCAGCCTGTGTTTCCGCCATGCCCTCGCGCGGGGCGGCGCCATCGGCTCGCCTCCCCGGGGCAGACGCGTTTCCAGCACGCGACACATCCCGGCGCCAGCGCGGCAGCTGGCGAGAGTTCTGGACTGGGGCTGTGACCCGTCACGTCCTCGGCCGGCAATCACCGGTCCGGTATACAAGGCCGCCCGGCCGGCCGCAGGGGCCGCAGATCGGACGAGTCGCCTCCAACGGCCAGCAGCACTCATCAAGCAGGACTCTGAGCCGGGGCGCCGCTTCGAAACGCAAGAAGAGAAACCCAACTCCCAACCGCTCCGCACGACCTTCCGCCCTTCGTCATGGGCCTGCCGCAGCTGTTGGACGATGCTGATGGTTGCTGGCGGCGCTGGCGGCGGCGCGCCGCAGAACGGCAACTTCTACTTCCCGGACGCGCCGGCGGACGTGCCCGAGCCCGTTCGCAGCGGCACTGGAGGGCCGCGACCCGCCCTTCTCGTCGCAGTACATCCGCTCGAATCCTGCGCAGCAACCTGCTCAGCAGCGACTACCAGATATACCACATGCCAGGAGCCGAGCGAGCGGCACTACGCTGTGAAACGGGAGCACCAGAGGCGCGCCTGAGCCCGGGTCACGCCGCAGGTCCAGGTCAGGTCGGACCGACGGCTGAGACCGGTCACGGGCGAGTCGGGTCAGCGCAGGTCCCGCAGGCGCCAGACAGGCCGCCCTCGAAGCATCTAGTCAGCGAAACGCGCGAGACGAATCGCGCGGACGCAGCGGAGGCCGCGGAGAAGAGATTCCCGAGGCGGCGGAGAAGCCCGGCCGTCGGCGCCGTCACAGAAGAGGCGGCGCCGCGCGCTGCGAGCGACGAGCCGCGGGGCGGCGACACGGCGCCCGGCGTCGCCCCGTCCGCGGGCGTCGGCGGCGGCAGCAGCGGTTACCGCCGGGTCCACCACGGCACGCGGTCGGGCTGGGCCGGCCCGACCGTCCCCGTTCTGAGGTAGAGCGTCGGCGGCCGTCCGCGAGACACGCTCCGCTGGAGAGCTCATTCCAGACGTTTCATTTGTGCAATCCGTGCACATGATCAGTCATGTGTCATCAGTGACGCGGCTCACGACCGTGCAGCCGTGACGGTCTGTTTGTACGGGTGGCTGATCCTTGAAATAAAGCATGCCAAAGAGTCTCGCAGGCAAGCACCGCACTCGCGGCGAAGGCGGCACGCGGCGCTGAAGCGCTGGCACCGCACCGAAGCGGCCGGTTTGGCAGGTCGCCAAGCTGAGAGCGGTTCCCTGGCCGACGGACGGGCGGTGTGCTTTGGTGTGTTGCAATGCATTCGTGGACATCGCGCTCAGTCGGCGATGCGCGCGGTGACGTTGCCAGCTTTCAGACATCAAGGCTATGTCCACTGCGGCGGACTTATCGATGTCATGGACACTCTGCCGCGTTGGCGCAACGGCTATCGCCCAGATGTTCCGGCGGATCGTGGCAGAATCACAAGAAGGGGGTGATTTCAATGTCGCATGCAAAGCCATCTGTACTGCAACTACGCACGCGAAACGTGCCGTGGGTACTTATCATTTCACGATTCATCTCCGCAACAGGATGGAACTTGGAGCGTGACTATAGCTTTGGTGGGATAACGCGGTTTATTCCTGACGCCCAGATGCGGTTGACAGCTGGAGGTCAGTGTAACGTTTTTCCTTTCGGTGACACATAGTCGGTGCCGCTCCACATCACATCACACCCACAGCCAGACTGCCTATAACGGATGGGAAAGAGCGACGTAACAAACACACACAGCCGAGAGGAACGTGAGATTAGCTGCCAAAACGTCGCGTGCAACGTTATGAAGTAACATCAAATGGTGGATCAATACCATTTCTGCGATAATCTTTACCTACAGATTTGGCGCAGGCATCCTTTAACACACACCAAGGTGATCACAAACATAGCGACGATGAGCCGATCAGCTGACACTTCTGAACTGTGGATGACATCAACCGATATCGGGTATCACGTGTTTAAGAAAAGCGACAGCGAAACGCCAAGTTCGTCGTGCGCCGAAATGCACGGGATTCGCTACGGCAGATATAGTTGGCTGCTTTCTTTACCGAGACCAGATACCATGTGCGACTACGTGCAATGCGAATAAAAAGGCGTTATGTAACACTTTGGCACGCTTTTTACGAAATGCTTCAACATTTCATCGCTCCAACGGTGCCCACTTTGAGGCTGTTGACCAGCACCTTGTCTGTCACAAAAGGGCCGGCAAACGCAACAGCATGAATCGCGAAGAGAGCATTACAATGTCACCCCACGAGGCACGAGGCATATGAACTGGAGAGGACTTCAACAGAGGTCAGATAAAATGCATTGGAGCACCAATCTTCCGCACCTTCCGGTGTTCACCTGCTCAGCAGGTTTTCTTTTGGAAGGGCGGCAGCTCACCCCGAGCAGTGATTTATCATGCTCGATGAAAACCTGTCAAAACAGACGTCTGAAGGTACCGGAACAAGGGGATTTAAGATAGCGTCCGGTGAAAACGTGTCAGCAAAGGAGTGTATATATATATATATATATATATATATATATATATATATACAGGTACAAATGTATATATATATATATGCATGTATATATGTATATATCTTTATATTCAAAAGAAACGGATGGCGCAAATTGACTGCCTACCGAAGAAGACACCAATATCGATTTTGCTAAATGCAAAGTGAAACTATTCATGACAAATTATGCCCCGGCATCGCAAAGCCTGACGCGTTAAATTCACATTTCTTCCCCGATCTTCCAGCGAGCCACCCTTAGCTCACAGCACGCCAGCACGCCGTAGAAAAGAGCCGTCGCCGACACTTTCTCGGTGACGTCATCGATTACGTCAGTCGTTAGCTGGGCCATCGCGGACGCGATCCGCCTCGACGAGCCAGGAGTCACTTTCACTACTATGCGGCAGGCGGCCGTTACGCCGCGCCGGTGCGTAGTAAGACTCGTGAAACGCGGCCAGCAACCCGCCGCTGGCCAGCAGCGTTGTGGTGAGAGGCCAGCTGGCCAGCAGCGTTGTCTCCCGCACAGCGGAGGAACGGGGTCCTCCGCACACACGCCACGGAGAGGCAGGTCTCTCGCACACCGGAGGATCCCACATACGCCACGGAGAGGCAGGTCTCTCGCACGCCGGAGGATCCCACATACGCCACGGAGAGGCAGGTCTCTCGCACGCCGGAGGATCCCACATACGCCATGGAGAGGCAGGTCTATCGCACGCCGGAGGATCCCACATACGCCACGGAGAGGCAGGTCTCTCGCACGCCGGAGGATCCCACATACGCCACGGAGAGGCAGGTCTATCGCACACCGGAGGAACGGGGTCCTCCGCACACACGCCACGGAGAAGCAGGTCTCTCCCACACCGGAGGAACGGGATCCTCCGCACGCGCCACGGAGAGGCAGGTCTCTCCCACACCGGAGGAACGGGATCCTCCGCACGCGCCACGGAGAGGCAGGTCTCTCCCCCACCGGAGGAACGGGATCCTCCGCACGCGCCACGGAGAGGCAGGTCTCTCGCACACCGGAGGAACGGGTCCTCCACACACGCCACGAACGGGCGTAACGGCCGGGTGATTAGCGCTTTCGGCTCCCGCGCGGGGCCCGGGTTCGGATCCCGGTTGCCTTATGGCCCCTGAACGCCACGAAGGCCTCTGCAGTCGCTGGCGTTCCCCACGGGGCGTGGCGACGTGCATCGCGTTCCCTTGAAAAAGAACAGGAGACGGACGGGATCCGAACACGGGACGGATGCCAAACACAGCCCCCTCTCCCCCCCCCCCCGGACACAAGACGGCAGGAGAGGCCTCCAGAACACGGAGCAGAGATCCTTCCAAGCCTACAGGATACGGCATTTACCGATAATATCGTTTGTTACGCGGACGGGACTGTCCGTTCTCCTGTCTTTTCCAGTTATGAATGACAAACTGGTTACCTACGTCGCTACCTGTGGTGAACACAGGGCAACGGGCCAGTGAAAGTTCATGCCAAGAACATCGAACCTAGATTTCTCAACCGCAAGACCGACATCTTAGGCCATGCAAGCGCTTACGTAGCTACCGCTGGCTTCAATCTACCTCCCCAGAGAGGGCAGATTACGGTACCACAAATGCGCATCTGTTTGCCGCAACTCGGAACACGCGATACGAACGGCGAGGCGGAAAAAAACGGGACCCGTTTTCCGAGAACGCGAGTCCCGTTTCGCAAAAGCATGCATACGCCGGCTCGGCGCGCGGCTAAAAATGATGTCGTCAACCAGCGCCATGCGCCGCGCCCGTCGCCGCGCCAACGCGCCGATATCGCCGTCGCTGCGGCACCGAGCCGCGCGCAGATGACGCAAGGAAAACCACCGACGATGTGGACGGGGCAGCAGCGGAGGACATCACGCACGCAAGAGGCTGAGACACCGAACGAACAAGGGGTCGAAGACGCGAGAGGTGGGACACAACAGCGAACCAGGGCCCCATTCGAGCGTCACGTCAGGCCCCCGCGTCCGCGTCCGCGGGGGCCTTCTCCGCGCGTCCAACAGCACTCGACCTAGGGCCTTGACCTAGGAGCGCCCCGTCACGCGGAGAAGACATGGACGCGGAGGCATGGCATGACTGCGGGCACTGACCGACTCACGACCGAGGGGACCATCGGCCGCTCTGCCTCCTCCCGTCCCTGCCGGCGCGCGTCCGCACCGAGCGGCCGGCGCCAGCCCGACCCCGCGCTGCCCTGACATGGGACATGACCTAGGAGTGCCCCGTCACGCTCCCCGTCCGCAGCGCAGCCGCGCGAAGGTTCGCGGCCGGGTCACGCAGACGTCCGCGGTCAGCGGGAGGACGGCTCCGGATCAGGCAGACGTCAGCGCGGGAGGACGGCTCCGGATCAGGCAGACGTCAGCGGGAGGACGGCTCCGGATCAGGCAGACGTCAGCGGGAGGACGGCTCCGGATCAGGCAGACGTCAGCGGGAGGACGGCTCCGGATCAGGCAGACGTCAGCGGGAGGACGGCTCCGGATCAGGCAGACGTCAGCGGGAGGACGGCTCCGGATCAGGCAGACGTCAGCGGGAGGACGGCTCCGGATCAGGCAGACGTCAGCGGGAGGACGGCTCCGGATCAGGCAGACGTCAGCGGGAGGACGGCTCCGGATCAGGCAGACGTCAGAGGACGGCTCCGGATCAGGCAGACGTCAGCGGGAGGACGGCTCCGGATCAGGCAGACGTCAGCGGAGGACGGCTGGATCAGGCAGGGACGTCAGCGGGAGGACGGCTCCGGATCAGGCAGACGTCAGCGGGAGGACGGCTCCGGATCAGGCAGACGTCAGCGGGGAGGACGGCTCCGGATCAGCAGACGTCAGGGAGGACGGCTCCGGATCAGGCAGACGTCAGCGGGAGGACGGCTCCGGATCAGGCCAGACGTCAGCGGGAGGACGGCTCCGGATCAGGCAGACGTCAGCGGAGGACGGCTCCGGATCAGGCAGACTCAGCGGGAGGACGGCTCCGGATCAGGCAGACGTCAGCGGGAGACGGCGGTCCGGATCAGGCAGACGCAGCGGGAGGACGGCTCCGGATCAGGCAGACGTCAGCGGGAGGACGGCTCCGGATCAGGCAGACGTCAGCGGGAGGACGGCTCCGGATCAGGCAGACGTCAGCGGG